TCCATTTCATGCCCTTCCCTCTACTTTCACTTCTACAGCTGTTCTCACTCCTTCTAACCTCTAGGCAACATGCACTAAATTAAAAAGCAAGTTGATAAGCCCCTCCCCCACTTGCCCACTGGTCCTAGCTCCTCCTCTCCCCCGCCCCATTCCTCCAACAGTCCCCAAATAAAGCCCATGTCCATGGAAAACGGCTGTGGCTTTAGTTTTGTTGCTTTCTAAAAAAAAAAAAAAAAAAAAAAAAAAAAAAAACACTACCAATTTCTAGGAGCAGGAGGGAAAGTTAGACTTCTAGAAGAACTTTCCTGTCTATGCTCACAGAAGTAGCAGAGGCGAAAGTCGCAGGTTGGGTCAGCAGTGTCCTTTTAAGAGCTAAAGGAGGGGGAGTAGGTATCTTGGGAATTTTCATCTCAGTTAATGAGCCAGATAATCCTAAGGCCATTAGGGGGGTTTTACGTGGACTGATGTGCTATTCATTAGTCTAATTGGGGTCCCCTGCTAGTGTGGAAGGGGTCTGCTGAAGTGGTCCAGGCACCTTGTTCACTGTCCTGGCAGTTGTAGGGGTAGGGAGGGCATCAGAAGCTTCCACATTGAGAAGCTGACCCTGGGCAGAGTAAAATTTCCCAGGGGGACAGAGGTTTGATTCTGGGGCCCTACCCAAGGGCGGGCAAGGGTTCTCACCATCTTTCCATCTTGAGCTACTTGAAATTTGAGGGGAGCATCAGTTGAGTTTAGGGTCACACCACCACCCCACCTCTTAAAGAAGGAAAGCTGGCGGAGGGGCCGGCTGGAGCACTTGTTGTCAGGAAAGACAGTGCTGGTCTGTTTTCTCTGGAGTCTGGTTTCACATTGTCCTGTATTCCCTCCCTGGCTCTGGTCCCACTGGCCTCTTTTCGGTGACATTCTCCCCCAGGAACCATCCGTGGCTCTCCCCTCCCCCAGCCCCAGCCAGTTCTTCCAGAAACACTCTGGGAGAGAACACAGACCTTACCCTCCCATCTGCTGGGATCCCCCCTAATTCACAGCCTATCCCTCCCCCATTCATTCAGTAAATATGTACTGAGCACCAACTGTGTGCCAGACACTGGCTTAGGAGACTGAAAGAACCAGTATCTCTGCTCTGGAGGCCAGCCCAGCAGGGAACAGAAGTACTGCAGGTGTGACTGTTTTGGCTGTGGGAGTTTCTTACAGTCTCCGGAGCCAGTCCTCTGAGCTAGGTCCCAAGGGCTGAGGGTTCAAGAGGAGTTTACCAGGCAGGGAAAGGGTAAGAAAGGCACTCTGAACAAGAGGGTACGGCATGTGCAGACACATGGAGATGAGAAAGAACATGGCACGGTTGGGGCTGCCATGGCTAGAAGGGCAGCAGACAAAGCTGAGAAGGTCTATCGGGGCCACTGCAGGGTCCACAAAGGACCCAGGACCTCATTCTGAGGATGTGAGGAGGCATTAGGGATTGCAAGCGGAGAATGAGGTGACCAGATTTGGTTTTTGGATAGAAGGTTATCGGGATGAGGTGATGGGGGCCTGGGGATTTGGCTCTGAGATGCGTCATCTAAAATAGCTTCTCCTTTCCCTATGCAAGGGCCCAGCCTTAAAATGGAAGGAAACCCCCACCCTCTCCTGGCTCGTCAGACGCCCTTTCCCTCCCTACCTCTCCTACAGGTTCATCTCAGCCAATCTTCTCAAGAATTCTGGGACAGCTTCAAGGGCACAGGGTACCCCACACTCTCAAACTAAGACCTGTTTAGAGGCTGACTTTGAGATCCTCCTCAAGGACCCTAAGTCCTGGATTGGGGGTGCTGGAAAAGGCTGGGGCTTCCAGACCCATCTCTCAGTCTGGTCCCAAAGGACTGACCCTCCCCACACAGGACCTGCTGTACCATTGACTTGGGATATGGGGCCTTGTGGCTTCTCTTTTCCACTTCGAACTTTAGTACAAAGCAGGCTCAAGCCGGTGGCCGCCAAAGTGTAGTCTGTGCCCCTCTCTTCTCCCAACCTCCCACTCCTGCTGTGCTCAGGGAATGCAAACACATTTCAATATCCGCCTAAAGCAAATATAATTAGGAAGATAAATCAGCTGGAGGAGCCCCCAAAGTTTAATACATTTCCAATACCACTGGCAACAGATTTTGATCCCTTCTGCAGGTCTGGGTTGCCAGACGTTTTATTTCTGGGTAGGGGGCCATGCCTCTGGGCTCAGGAGCCCACTAGGTGGGAGGAGGAAATGGAGCTGTTGTTCCTTGATCTTCAAAGGCCTCTGCAGGCTGGGGAGAGGGGACCTAACCCCCACTCTCACCCCAGATGGGGAGTCAGACTGGGTTTCCTCCCCTGCAGCTGTTTCCCCCACAAATTAGACTCTGGTTTGGGAAACAATGTAGCCTCGTTAATCATTTAATGAAATAAACAACTAATCATGCTGTGATGCTTACAGTGTTTCTTAACCTCAGCAATCAGTCTGCCCAGGAGGAGGAGGAGGAAGGTTGGGATGGGGCCAGGGCAGGGGCAGGGACTTGGTCTAACCTCCAAAATGCTTCAGCTGACAGAGGGTCATCTTCTTTGTGACTCCGGCCTTCCCAGGAGGGAGAGTCTTGAAAAGAGCTTGAGATTTGGAGGCAGAAGTTTGAGTGCCTGGGTTCCAGCTCTGCCCCTTCCTCCCTGGGGAGCCTTTGGTGAGATCCTGCACCTGTATGAATTTCAGTTTTCACGCCTGGAAAAGGGACCTGATCACATCTACTTCACTGTGTTGTTGAGGAAGATTCAGAGAGGAGAAAGGACGTAGAAGAGCTCTTTGACCCCTTAAAGGAGGCTGAACTGATGTCAACCTTTTTTCTTTACAACTTAGACATCTAGTTCTTCTGAGCTGGGCCTGAGGGAATCAGGATCTTGGAGGGGGCTTCTTGTGCTGGGGATATAAAGGCTGGAGGAAGGCCAACACACAGAAAGGGGCGATTGCTATGTCCTGTTCCCACACCTATCCCCAGGGCTAGATAGCTTTAGTGACTCCTCTTAAGTCTCAGTGCCTTTGGTCCCCATTCTTCTGAACTCTCCTATTACCTTTTCTGAAGTCTCTGGGTGAAGACCCCATGTTGCCATAGTGACCCCACCCCAGATACACTCAGACTGGTCCCGAAGGCTGAAGGAGGTGGGTCATGTCCCCGAGGTTGCCAGTGGACACCAGCTATCCTGGCATAGCTCTCTCCACCAACCCCACACTCTCTTCCCCAGGAAAGGGGTTCAGCTCTTATGCAGTATCCCCCCTTCCCTCTCTAACAACAAAGGAGTTTTTTCAACACACTGCAGCCCCTCTCCTGCCTTCCCCCTACCAGCTGGGTTCCCAGGTCTCTCTCCATCTCTAGTCAACCTACTCCCTTTTGTCAAGGTTGGGGATGAGAGTCAGAGAGAGGGAGGCTCCAGGTCCAGGCGGGTGGGGTGAGTCCCAAGCAGCTACCTCCCAGCAGCCAGAGAGACAAGAGGGACACATACATAAGTGCTCCTCCCTCCCAGGAAAATGCCTCCTCTGCTGTTGACTCCTAAATAACAGATGTCTGTCTGCATATTAATGAGATTGGACGAATAATTGGTGAGTTTTTCATTCAGTGTCAGAATGAACCCGGAGGCCTTATGTTCATGAACACAGACACCCACTCACACACACACTCCCACCCCACTCTCTTTCCCCAGAGCACAATAAGACAGACGCAGATGCTGGCAAGCTTGACCCACAGAGTGGAGGGGCAGACGGAGCTGGGAGGGGGTGTCAGCAGGAGGGACAACTCCAAGGGCTGGGGCTGGGTTTGTTAGGTTTCTCCCTCTTGATTGCCATCTCCCCGGCCCCCCAGGGACAAAGCTTGCATTTGTGAGATTTTACCACATGCAGAAGGGGCCCGAAGGAAGGTGGGAACCGGATAGAGAGGATTGTGGGGAAAGGCAAGCGCTGCCTGGGGGGTTAGGGAGCAGGCAACAAAACCAGTCTTTCAGAGAGGTTATGCCTCGTGGGCTTCTTACCTTGCTTTAGCCCCTGCTCCAGGCTGTGAGGTGGAAGAACTGAGGTTTTAGGGTCAGCTGGGTATTCTTGTGCAAGTTACCCAACCTCTCTGAGCCTCTCACTCTTCCTGTCTCTGAGAACATCTACTTTGCAAGATTGAAAAGATGAAACGAGATAGTGTCATGTGTCTGTTAGTGCTTGTTTTATAATAGGCCCCAACACATATTTGTTCTGTCCCCACTTATCCTCAAAACATACCAAGACAGTTTCAAAGTCTGCCTTTCCTGCCAGACCCATCTTTGTTAGGGCAGGGATTAATTCGAAGTTTAGTAATTATCCTGGCTCCCAGGAAACTGAGAAGAAAAGATAGAGGGGCAGGAACAGAGAAAGAGGAGATTAGATAGACACAGGAGAGAAAACAGGGAAACCAAAGCCTGGAATAGCAGGAAAAGAGACCACAGAGATAAAGAACCCTGAGCCAGCAGAGAATGGAGAAGAAATTGCAGGCAAGTAGATCAAGCCCTGGAATGAGAGTGTAGAATCTAGACTGTAGATCCTAGAAGCCCCAGTTCTGCTATGAACTCGCTGGACCTTAGCAAGTCTCATCTCCGCTTAAGCATCTCGAGTCTCCTCATCTGTAAATGGAGTTGGTTTATTTTCTTAGGTCCCTTCTCATTGTATGAGAACAAGAGTTCTAGTGGCCTGGGGGAGGGCAGGGGAAGGGAGGTGGGCTGGTGGCCCTCACCAACACACACACCCTATGGCTCATCAGTCACTCTTGCTCTGTCTCCTCTTCCCCTTGGTAAATGGATCTGCTGCACCAGCAAACAACTGTCCATTGTGTCCTAATAAGGGACGAGCAGGGAAAACCAATCACTTATAATGCAAATGAGCGGCGGCTGCAGCCTCCTCCTTTCACTGAGTGCCTCTCTTCTGCCCAG